TGCTTTTCTAATGTTTAGCCAAGTGGCACCACTTTCCCCCACTTCCTCCTAAAGTGTCTCTAATCCCTATTTATCTCCTAAATTATCTCTAACTCCTATTTATCTCTTAAATTATCTCTAACTCCTATTTATCTCTTAAATTATCTCAAATTTATTAGAGAGATTCTCTCCTAAACTATCTCTAATTCCTATATCCCCACTTTTTATCTATATCTATGTAAAGTTCAATTAAAAAAATTTAGAATTATTTAAATATTATAATAAAATTATATACTAACTTTAAAATATTTATTCAAAACACAAAAATTAATTATAATAGATTTAATAATATTCATATTATTGGTAATTCTATATTTTTACAAAATTCATCATGAAATTATGTAGTAACAATATAAATTATAATTTTAGGAATTATTCAATTTAAATGTTATTCAAATAATAAAAATTTAACATTAAAAAATAAAACATTATTTCAATATTTCAACAATTAAATATCTTAAATAACAAAACATTAATGGTGAAAATTCAAATAATGAAATTTTTTAAATATTTTACATATTATTTAAATATTTAAATAACAAAATATTTTATATAACTAAATTTTAAACAGTTAAAATAACAAAATTATGTAATTAATTTAAGAAATTTCTTAAAAGTAAAAAATAATTATAATAGATTTCATAATATTCATATTTCTAATAATTTAATATTTTACAAAATTAATAAAAAATTATGTAATAATAGTAGTACAATTATAAATTTATGGACTATTAAATTCAATAAATAATTAATATTTTAAAATTTAAATAACAATATTATTTCAATAATTAAATAATATTGTAAATAGCTAATTTCACTTATATCAATTAATAATTATAGAAAATAACTTTCAACAAAATTATATTTATCAGTAATAATTTTACAATAATAGCGTATATACATTATATATTTATATATACTAAAATTAATATTTATTTTATTTTCAGTAATTATTTATTATATTTTTTTATAAATATATTTTCACTAATTATTTATAAATCTATTTTTGTTTTTTTATTTAATAAAAAATTGTCAATAATTACTGGAGATTAAACAACTATTATTTAACTTATCGTATTTATTGTATTTTTGTTATAAATTTATTTTTAGTAATTATATTTTTTTATAATTTATAGATTAATATTTATCAAAGATTAAGGGGGTGTTCTATAGATTAATTACCGATCCACACCACACCTCCATGGGCATTCTGCAAGGTATGACATATTTCAATCTGCACATTGTATTTGATTCCATGCATCTCAGCTACAACATTTGAGATAATCTTTGTCGTTAATCATTAAAAAAATAATATATTATTTTTTGTTATAACACAATAGAAAAATATTAGTAAATTGCTAAGAATTTTAATAGAATAAAAATAATATTAGTAACAATTAATAATATTAAATAACAAATAATGATATTAATGTTAATTAAAATGAGTAGTAATGTTAATGATATTTGATAATATTAACAAAAAATTTAGTAATAATTAATATTAGTAAAAGTAATATTTGAAAATTAATAATTAATAAAATAATATTAATATTAATTAATAAACATGAGTAGGAGTGGTAAGTTGTTCAAATAGAGAAGAGTAATATAGAATGAGGATAAACGAAGGATGAATACTTACTAGTTACCATCGATGATCCGATGCAGCAATGGTCGGGAGGAGGAGTGGTGAGTGGTTCAAACTAGGTTTGTCAATGATACCTGAAAATCCAAGGCCTGATCTAACATCCAACCCGATTATCTCGGATTCAGATGATGTATTTATGTAATCGGATCAGATTCAAATGCTACAATCTATATCTAATAAATAATTGGATTGGATTTGCGTTTGACCCCATCTGATCTGATTAAACTATGAAACCAATTATTATAATATTTATTAAATTTTATATAATTATATTTAAAATTATAAAAATATATTCTATATATTATATTATATATAATAACTTAGTATGTTATATTTATATTAATTTATTATATATAAAAGTTGAAAAATAAATAAATTTTATTTTTCTAGCATTTTAGAAAATTTATAGCAGAGTCGGATTAAATCCGAATCCGATCCAAGTTCTTTAGGATTCAAATTCGAATCCAAGACGATCGAATTTGGATGTAGGTTCTCAATAATCATATTGAATGTGGGTTTTGTTGCATCCGATCTGAGTCCGATCCGATTACAGCCATAGTTCAAATCGAGAAGAGTAGCAATGATGAGTAGAGAAGAATAGCAACGGCGAGCTCACAAAGAAGTGTTGCAATGGTAAAAAGAAAAGAGGTCTTATATTAGGGTTAAACATCCATGCGAAGTATGGGACCGTTATTCCACATGCAAAACGATGTGGTGTAGATGCTTCTACGAGATAAACCCGTGGATGAGAAAATGGATTGTGGTGTGGATCAATCCACGAGATAGCGTGGATTAGCCCACAACCACAACCAATTGAATGTATGGCACAGAGGTGGTGTGGATTGAAACTGAATATATCGTGGCCAATCCACACCACCAAACACTACCTAAACTATTGTTTGAGATTACACTATTTATTGACTAATTTAGTATATTTTTATTAGATATCTATTATATTTTCATTATAAATTTATTTTCAATGATTGTGTACTTTGTTATTAATTTTCAACAATTATTGGAGATTAAACTATTGTTATTTATTATAGATCAGACTATAAATTTAGCTGAAATTAGGAGGGTTCAAGGATTGGTTCAGTTCAGTTGCAGGCTATTTCGCCAACCAAATCGATCTGGCCAAGTCGGGAGTTTGTCACCTGAAACCGATTGACCATTAGTTTAAACCCACCAACTCGGGTTGTATCAGTTTGGGTCTATTTTTGGTTTGGTTTGTTTGTTCAAAAGATTTAAACTTAAAAATTAAATTTAAATTTCATAAATTATATTTATATTATTAAAAAATAAATTTATGATATAAAAATTTTTAGACTAAAAATATGGAAAATTTCCTACTTTCCCCTATTAAAAAATTAAATTTAAAATATAAAATATTAATATATATATAGCCAAACCGAGACTAATCTAACTTGGTCGTGTTGGAAAATTGTTAAATCAAAACCACTCGAAAATACTAAAAAACCGAGCAACTCAAGTTGAGTTTGACTGGATTGATTATTAAAAAGTTAAAATATAAAACAATTATATACTCCTCTCCTGTTAAATTAAAATAAAATATATACATATATATACATTGTTATGATGAGGCAATGAGAAAATATACATTGTCACATAATTAAAAAAAATAAAATAAAATAAGATTCCGTAGACTCCACCTCTCCTATTCATCAAGCAACGAATTCTTTGAATTTGCTAAAAAATTAAATTCACCTCCCAAAGTGACGATGCATGCATACCACGCTAGCTTCAAATTTTCAAATTAAATTTTAATTGAAGTTAAAAACTAAAAACGCCCATAGAGATAATTAAGAGTGGCGTCTTCGTTTTGCTATGCGAGACACTGAGACAGACAGGCTGTTGGACCCAAACCAAACTTGGTTGCTTGCTTGCTCAATATTGAAATACGAAAACAGTGAATATACATATACTACTATCAACTATCAAGCATCAACATTGGTGGACCCCATTTATCTGCCACATAAGCATCGCCACAGAAGATTACTATTGGGCCATATGTCTACCAAACTGTCCCCATGTGTAAATTATTAGTATTTCTTTTAATTAAGAACCCTACGTATTTGATAGTTGACATGATGATTTATATAGTTTTAATTTAATAGCATAACTTAATAAACTAATCTCAAAAGTGAATTAGATGGGGTCAGTTTCGTGGAGGCTTAACTTAATTCCTCATGTGCAAGATTCAACCATACCCAACCAAATTAATACTTCAATTCAGTAATACTCCTCCATTGCATTAATACTTCAATTCAGTAATCTGAAACACAATGTATACAAAAGATATCGATAACCTTTCTTCAACTTCAACCTCTGCGGCCAATTAGAGCTAATATAAACATTGGGAGCTTATCATCATGGAAGGCCCCAGCCGCTGTCATCATCATTAATTAATTCTTTTTTCTTTTGCAATTAAACCATTTAACCTCTGAAAGGCTTTATCTTGTCTCTCTCTCTCTCGCTCTCTTCTATTTATACATAACCGGCCCATGTGTTGACCAGTTATTGGCGCTTGAATTAATTAATAGTTAATAGTTTGTTGTTGTTTTATTGCTTGAATTTTGCACCGAATGAGCAGGAAGCACATGGAGTTAACCACCATGTGAGTGCTCTAAATCTAATCATCAAATCAACCATGAATATTAAATAGCAGAGAGCTGGACAGAAAATGGCGGGGGTGGTGGATTAATTAATTAATTAGGTATATGGATGGGGGATAGTGACTCAATTTTTGAGCCAATGATTAATGAACACACAGTATAGGATTGTAGGATTAAAAGGTGTTTGACCAAAAGATCATCACTCCCATCTGAAAATGGACTTTTCATCCCTCCACGTGGTTGAAAAAATTACTCAGTGGGATAATACATGATCAGTGCTGTGTGTCGTCGTCTGAGAAATATTTTCAAATACGTACATGGAATAATAATACATGCAAGTAATTAGTAAAAGGATTAATGAGGATTATTTCTCCTCATCCTCAAAATTAAGCCAGGAATAGTAGAGAAAGATGAGTTATCACTAATCAAAGAATTCAATTCCCTCACGGCGCCGAAACATTAAATAGAAAAAGAAATGGCCGACCATTAACCATTGGTATCGGGGGGATTTCATCAATTCCTCTGATCAGGCTCTGTCGTCAGTTCATCAGTGGTAATTTAACAGGGTGGAGGTATCTGTATGTCGGCCTGTCAGCTTCCCAAAAGGGACCAGAAGAACATACAAAAGGACAACCCCTTTATCTTATCTCTCTTCTTTCTCCGCTATAAAAACCCCATAAATAACACGTTCTCTTGGACGTCAATTTCATTTGAACAATCTCACAAGACTCCACTCCCCAAGTACCCTGTTGCCCATTTGCCTCTACGCCCCACACAACCTCTCCTCCATTCCTTTCCTTCTCTCTCTATTCTCTCTCTCTCTCAAATACATACACATACATATTACTGTTTCGACTTTAGAGGTAAAACTAGGACGAAATCAGATATGAGCACCCTACAAGATTGTTGGCCTGAGCCTGTTGTCCGAGTGCAATCGTTGTCAGAGAGCGGATTATCCGCAATTCCGACTCGATACATCAAACCACCGTCGGAGAGGCCTTCGTTAAACTCCGGTGGTGATGCTAACATCCCATTAATTGATCTCGGCAGCTTACTTAACAACCTTGACGATAAGACGACCCTGAAGCAAGTATCGGAAGCGTGTCGAGAGTGGGGCTTCTTCCAAATAGTAAACCACGGAGTGAGCCCCAAACTGATGCACCGGACACGGGAGGTTTGGCGACAATTCTTCCATCTTCCGCTTGAGCAGAAGCAAGTTTACGCCAATTCACCCAAGACGTACGAGGGGTATGGTAGCCGACTGGGTGTTGAGAAGGGCGCCATTCTCGACTGGGGCGATTATTACTTCCTCCACTACCTTCCCCTCGTGCTCAAGGATCAAAACAAGTGGCCTGCCCTCCCGGACTCATTGAGGTATCTATCACTCATCATTATTAAGTTTAGGCCGACCGAATAAACGACGTACTACTCCTACCACTACTTCAATTCTATCTTATATACAATTTCTTTCTCTCCTCTGATCCTGTGACCGGTCTTCTCGACTTGAGAAATTTGAATGCAAATGAATGTTAATTAGACGATTAGCTAATTAATAAAACGATTGTACATACAAGAATATTCCGGCCCATTAATTAATCCTGTTAAACTAGTAAATTATTATTGTGCTTGATTGTTTATTTTCTCGTTACCTGTAGCACAACCGTTACCAGGTGGATCGAGGTGGCTTAATTTCATGGGAATTTGATACACGGATGTGCTTTATTTATTATCCTTTTCTGGGTCTAATTTATAATGGTTTAATAGATATAAAGTTAGAATGAAATGATTAATTTACACTTGGTTGATTGATTGGTTAAATGTAGGGAGGTGACCCAGGAGTACGGCGATGAGTTGGTGAGATTATGCAAGAATTTGATGAAAATTTTGTCTGTAAACCTGGGACTGGGGGAGGAAAATCTTCAGAATGCGTTTGGAAAAGAGGGCATCGGTGCGTGCGTGAGGGTGAATTACTATCCCAAGTGTCCACAGCCTGATCTCACACTCGGTCTTTCCTCCCACTCCGACCCAGGAGGTCTGACTCTTCTGCTTGCCGACGACCGTGTCCCCGGCCTCCAAGTCCGTAGAGGCGGTAATTGGGTTACTGTAAAACCCTTCCCCAATGCCTTCATCGTCAACATCGGCGATCAAATTCAGGTCCTCTCTCTCTCTCTCTATTCTATATATGTCATAGGGCACATGTATGTAACGATCCATCAGTTTTGGATGGTTGCTAACCAGTAGTAACTCAACTTTGGTCAAAAGGAAACTCAAAAAGGTTTCTGTTTGGGGACCTTTACGTCTGTTTCCTTATCAACTGCAGTCTCAAACAAGATTATGAGCGTATAATAATAATAATAATAATAATAATAAGTAAAAGCTCCTTCTTTAAGGACTAATTAAGAGATGGAGTTTGCAATTGCATGAAGGAAAAGGAGGTTCCCCATAAGGCCATAACTACTTGTTTGGTACAAATCTACCAATTAATACTTATTCAAAAGTTTAACATTAAATAAGCTATAGCCAAATGCATGCATGTCAGTCGCTATTAGTGTCTAGTGGCCTACATCTTTATTCATCCATTTATGCTTATGCAATCCAAAAGAAAGAACAAGTATTATATATATATATATATATATAGGCCTATTTCTTCATTTCCTTTTGCTTATTGGACCACCTTGTCCTTTTATGTTTCCTATCATTTTTAGCAACTCTGGAGATTTTTCTCTTCAACTTGTCTTTTTGCCCTTCTCTCTCTTTGGTCCCACTGTAAAAGGAAAATATCAACTAGATAGATAAACATCATGGAGACCTACTGAAGATCAATGAAATCTTAGCTTAATAGCTTTATGGAGAGGCAGACTTAATTTATATATTCTTATCCTTGATCTGCTTAATTTCTCTCTGATCCTCTTAACTATGACAATATGACATGTTTATCTTAGTATATATAAATATTCTTGGGTTAAGAATAAGATCATCAAAATTCAAACTTCAAAGGTATTAATTAATGCTAGCCTTTTCTTTTTCATCTTTTGAAACTTTCAGTACTCCTGCTAGCTTGTTGTCTAACAGCAGGGGCTCTAAAGCTGAAGTGTACTAGTGTCTCCTTTAATTTGATGCTACATGATGCCCCATGCATGGCCCACCTGATGGGGTTTAGTCTCTTATAAGTTAGAACCCGAGGATCAATTGCACCTTTGATTTGGCATCTTTTCTCTGTACGTACTATTCTTATTAGTAGGTGAAATTGAAGTTGATTTGGCATCTTTTCTCTGTACGTACTAAAAACCAACTGTAGATATCTAATTAATTGATTAATTAATTAATGACCTGGTGAAATTGAAGTTGATTTTGATTAATAGGTGCTGAGCAATGCAATGTACAAGAGCGTGGAGCACAGGGTAATCGCCAATGCAGTGCAGGAACGCCTTTCCCTCGCCTTCTTCTACAACCCCAAGAGCGATTTACTCATACAACCAGAAAAGGAGCTCGTGACATCAGATCGACCCGCCCTCTATCCAGCAATGACCTTCAACGAGTACAGACTTTACATAAGGACAAAGGGTCCACGTGGAAAAGCACAAGTGGAATCCCTAAAATCTCCTCGCTGATTTTGAGCGAAACTTCAACTTCATTCATACACCCATTAGCCATTATTAATTAGCAGGTGTAAATTAAAAATCAAACATATAAATTAAATAGTCCGCCCCTCTGTATGGATGATCAGTTATCATTGAACATGCACCAATTAATTACTTGTAAAACCTACCTTGTGAGGAGGTAATTAATTAATCATAGATGAAATATTTACACTAATCATAACAAGAAAATATGTATCTCATCATTTTCTAAGTCGTAAGTTCATGAATGGAATCAATAATAATAAATAGTTTCCATTTAATTTATGGTTATGGGTCTTGGTTGAATTACATATACATGCACGCCTTTTTGCCGGCAGCTGGTCACATCCAGTTTGGTTTCTAGCTATTCTTTTCCACCATGAGACCTGTTCAAATGGYACATAACGCCGGCCTGAATCAGTCGTACTCCGTGTAGTTCATGTTAATCTTAAATATACAAGGAATATCGCCTCATAGACCTAAGTGCATGAATGAGCCTTTTTTTTTTTCTTTTTTAGTCTTTATACAGTAGTCTTTCTTTCCTTTTACAACAATGACAGTAAACATAATTGATCATCTGTGTCTCTACACTCTATCTCTATCTTTCTTCTGTGTTTTAATTCAGGGCTCGGGTTGGGGGTTGGATTATTATTTTGTAGCTCATCAATGCTTTTCTCTAACTACGTGCTGTTTTTTCTTTTTCTTTCTTTAATTTTCTTTTGGTTGAACACAGGGAGCTCTTATCTACCTCTATTTCTCTAAATCTCTGACATATATATTATCATATAATTCTTCAATGAAGAAAGCAACGATTATTATTAAGTAAAACATTTTATTATTGGCTTGAATGGTAGTTTTACATTCATATCACATCACGATATCAAGTTGTTATTTTATTTACTCAAATTTAATGGTGCTGTGAATTCATGATCAGTTGGGGGCCCATTGAACCTTGTGAGATTTAACTTTGGAAATCATCATACCGTGCGGATGACAATACAATTATTGACCAGGCCCATTTCTTATTGGATCATTGCATGTACCTGGGTTTGAATTTTGAAATCTCTTTAATCACGTGTGAAACAGAATTTAAAGCAATGACTTTTGATTTCTGATAAAGGGACACCGCTCATAATGCAGACAGATTGCATCCACTTGACGGTCATTTAAAATATGTTTTATTTTTTATTTTATGTCAGCACGTATATAAGGGTGGACCGGGTTGGGGTCAACCATGGTCCAACCCAAGTATGGTGTATGATAACCCTCACATGGATTATCGAATGATAGACCCAAAACTTATAAATTCATCAACCAGCCTCACCCACCTTTTAGCCCAAGCCCACTAATTAGACCCATTCGCTAGGTAAAGTAAAGAGGGAGGAGGTTTTACTTTTTAGTATATAACAAACTTTAAAAACAAATGAACAAATCGTCTAACATATTTGTCAAGTCTCTAGCTATGACGGCAATRGTGGATAGATTTTAAAGGCTACAATATCCAAGCTATCAAAAGAAAATAAAGCCCCTATGCGGCTTTTGAAAATCCGAAGGGAGCCACCCCAAAGAAAATACTATTCAGATGCGTTTTTGTCAAAGGTACTAGAGTGTTGAACAATAAGAAAAGTTGTATGAATAATGAAAGTATAGATATGTGTATTTGCCTTAAAGTTTAACTGGATGTTGAACACTGAATACAAGACAAAGAAGGGCATGACACTACACCCAATATTTCACCTGAAGCAAATGATGAAAGTTATGAACAATAGAAGAAAATCAGAAAATGATAGTCAATATTTTTTTGTATACTCACTCAATAGTTGTATAGCATTTTTTTTAATTATTGTAAATTTTGTTTTAATTTTATTTAATTTATTTGTTATTTTTTTAACAATATAGTTTTGTATTTTCAATTTATAACTATATTGTATTTTTTATATTTTATTAATTTATTCCATTTTCCAATTTTTATATTTCATTCATCCAAGTATTCAACCACTGTATGCTTTGTAATTTGTATCATTCAAATTTAAATGAAATAAAATTACTATTTTCTTCCAATTTTTTATTCCATTCTTATTTAGTTAAGTATTTTTTTTTTCATTATTTTGTTAGATCTCTCATTTCTTATTTTTTCAAAAAGTTTCCAAACCCAAAGGAAAGTTAAATATTTTAGTTTTACACTTTTACTTAGCAAAGAAATAAAAAATAAGAAATGTTAAAAAACAAAAAAAAGATAAAAAACCAATCTAGCCCGGTTCAACCCATGCCCAAGACCCAGCTTATGGCCCAGGCCCACAACATGGCCTGCAGCCCGGCCTACACGGGCTTGGGCCGTGGGCCATGCCAGGCCCACCCCCCAAATTATCCAGGGGAGGACGATATGGCCCGAAATGGTCCAAACGGCCCGCTTTACACTTCTAGCCACTCCCATTGTGTAACCCTTCAGAAGATATAAAAAGAAAAGTTTCTAGCTGATTGTAGTGAAGATCTGGGATCGAAAATCACACCTTAACCTGCGTTGGGGGAAGGGGGAGNGTCTAAGAGGTTCTGAGGGAGGACTACCCCTAGACCACTAGCAAAGTATCCACACCTTCAGGGTGCAAAGTGGAATACTTCATGTACTATATACACATGCATCATAAGAAAATAAAAAGTGCAAATTTTGTTTTAATTTAAACCAGAATTTTCTCTCAACTCACTTTCACTCTCATATTTTTTGCACCAATACAAGTGAAAATGGCACTGCATACAAATCAAACCTTGGGAAAAAAGCATGAGAAAAGTTTCTTAAATTTTCTTTATATTATAAATTATGGAAAAAAAAAGACGTAAAACTAAAAGAGAATCTCAAATCGCAGAGAGAGAGAAAAAGCACAGCACAAGAGGGAAAGAGGTCCCCTTCTCGAATCCTCTAAAGAAAGATAAGATCTATAAAAGAGAAATTTTCTAATAGCCTTTGAAGGCACACAAAACACAAATATCAAAATAAAATTGATAAATTATGGTTCAAAAACATCATTAAATTTGAAACACTTCCACTACATTGTATATTGGTGATTTTCCCAACTGGTTTTAACTGTTAAATGTTCAATTTTTTAATATAAAAATGCATAGAAAAAAAGTGCTTATTCTCGACACCTGATAAGGATTTTGGGGCTACTATTTTCTCCATTAAAGAGTGGTGAGAGGACTAAAAGTTTGCTAGGTTGCTTGGACTTCTTTACTACACAACCACTAAGCTAATCAATTTCATCCTACATGTATATGTACCACCAATTCAAAAAAAAAGGTCTTAGGCATTGGATAAAGCCGAAGTCTAATATCTAAAAAATAGAAAAAAAAAAAAAAAAAACTCATTTCACAAATTTGATATGAGGGCGTTTTAGTTATTATGAATCATTTGAAACATATTTGAAAACATTTGGTATATGAACCACCACTTAATAAATCAGCCCTATCATCACTTTTTAGAGGTATGACGTAGACATTAATACAAATGAGAATATGATATTCAGCCTCTGAAAAACAAAATATTTCAGATATCAGACTCTGTTACATTTTAAATGGTATCTCACTCTAATTAATTATATTCTATTGCATTTTCTATTATTATTTTTTGGAAGGAGAATATACGGACGACTGTACACAATAAACCCATTTTATTGTTATTGTTAGGATAAATATAAATACCATGCACCTTATTCCATATATTGTTATTTAGAGCCTTTGATTCCCTTCCAAAGTGGTTCAAAGCAGATATATACCAGTAGACCTGTTCATAGGTCAGGCTTTTACTCCATATTAATAGAATTTTTAAGGTTCGAGCCTGAGCCCGGTTCGACCATCGGGCCTACAATTTGGGCCCGAACCCGGCCTTCATAAAAAGTCTGAAGTTCGGGCCTGGGCCCGAGTCCGAAATTTAGCCCATACTGTTAGCGGCTGAAGAGAGAGAGAGAGAGAGAGATTATAAAGAAAAGAATAAAAAATGTATATATTAAATTATAAATATATATTTTAATAAATATTATATTATTTATATATTTTATATAATATATAAAATACATATTATATATTTTATAAAATATATAATACAGAGTCAGGCCAGGCTGGTCTCGGGCCGGGCTTTTTTGACAAATCTTGAGTCCGACTTGAAACACAGTCGGACTTACTGTATTAGGCCCGAGATCAGGCCCGTGGGCCTAATTACATGACCAAGCCCGACCGGAATGCAGGCCGGGCCGGGCCATCGGGCTACCCAGGTACAGGTCTACATACCAGTAATAATCGTCTCTATCTCCTTGCAGTACTACTAGAGATAAGGATACAAACGATGTCATTTTCAGAATATCAAGAAATGGCCCGGTTTACATTCTTTCCCAACAATCCATATCCTTTCATCTATTATTATCTATGTTTTCCTGTTTTGATATATTCATATTGGCTTGTGATTGTGAAGATGACGACTATGGATTCCTATTTTAATACATATGTCAATCCACATCCCACCCCCATTTCTACCTACCCTAAAACAATCCAATCAAACAGAAAAATCGCAATCACCCATTTGTAATTTAGCCTCTAGAATCTCCGTTTATCTTTCCATTTTTAGGACCCTTCTGGCTTCTGCTATGGAAGTAATTTAAACAGCCCAGGGATCTTCCACGTGGCAACCTATATTTGGACTCAATAGGAGTCGTCGGACATGTTCTTCTATAGATTTTGACACTAAAAACCCCTTCTTTATTTGGTAAAATTGTGACATAAGCAACAAGGGTAGACCTGGTCCTGAACCAGAGGAATTGTAGACCAGAGGAATTGTAATTTTGCATGAATTTCCAGTTTTCTAGCGAACTTCCCATTTGACCTCTTTCTCAGAGCTATCAATGGATCGGGTCTGGTCTGGGACAGGGTAGACCTGGTCCTGAACCAATGCAGGCCCAGTCCCGGACCAGCCTCTCTAGGGTCCGTAATCAGGCTTGTCGGATTTGACCCAATAAGACTCGATTATGAATAATAGTTTTATTTTAACCTATAATTTAACAATAGACTTAATCATCTGTTAATTTGGCACATTTAAACATAATATTATTAATATTACAAATATATAATGAATATATATATATATATATATATATGTGTGTGTGTATGTATGTATGTATATAAAATATATATATCCCCACTCTAATATTGATTTGGAACAACAAAACCGGCCCATCCTAGGTCCATAAATTTCAGAGCAGG